AAGAAAACGAGTTTCGTTGAAAGTGGCCAATTTTGAATAAAATACGGGTCAAACGATAATACCCGATAATTATGAACTAGTACCATAAAAGGTACTATATGACCACGGTAATATGATGTATAAAATATATTAAAAATAAGTAAAATTTTAAGTAAATTGAGATAAGTCTTAATTATAAGCATAATTTATTAATTATCGGATAACGGAACATTACCTAGTTAACTATATAAGATTAATTTTCCTCCCAAAAAACGTGGCATGTAGCCACAAACCTACAAAAATGACTAAGTAGTCAATAATCCTAGGTAGCCACCTAAGAATTATTAGAATTTAATAATGTAAAGACTTATTACAAGTCTTATCCCATTCCATTGGGACAAAAGAACAAACAAACATTCTTAATTAAAAAAAAAAAAGCAAGAAACATTTCCATTTTCCTAGTTCAAATACTTCAAAGAACAGAAGTTAATTCGTTCAAATACTTCAAAGAACAAAAGCTTAATTCCATCCAAATTTTGCGATTCTATGCAATCTTTTCCAAGAATATTATACAGAGTTTTCCCTACTCCAGGTATGTTAAGGTTAATCCTTCTTTTTCTTGGCATGATCCAAGTAACGATACATAAACGTAATGCTATTCCATAAGCTTGAAGTCCTGGCTTCGGCCTTAAGGTAGAGTTACCCAGGCGATCCGGTGGATTAGTTGTTAAAAAAATTACATACACAAATAAATAAGACTGTGCTTTCGGGAGAATATGCAGTTTACAAAGAGAACAAATCTATGACATTTCTTACACATCTATGGAATGCAAAAGTTAAAGTTGGTACCCTATTGATTAGTTGATATTAGGTACTGAGTCCATGAAATATTTTTATTCGCCAACCTTGCTTTGGTATCAAATGAAAAGAAAAGGAAGCAACAACATGTCTTTTGTGTCTATTGAAGAAAGATGCGAAATGAGATGTAATTGCTTTGGTTACTTTTAATATTTTTAAATGGTGACATATAATTTCCTATTTTTCTTTCTGGCAATTTGCTCACTTAAATATTTCAATTGTTTCTTCAACTTGGGCATTGGACATTTAGCAACTTGTAGTTGCTGCGCCTATATTAAGTTGAGGCAAAATGTAAATGGGTCAAGCGCCTTAAGTTTCAGTGTTTATAGGAAAATAATTTGACATGACACTGCAGGCACATCTCAGTTTTGTCCTTTGTGTGAATTTGGTAGTACACAAAGTTGCTTATAGAAGCATGCAACAATTCCTTTTCAACTAGCTCCTTATTAAATTACGACCTTGAGTTTTGCATGTTATCTGATTTAAAGAATGATAGCTGGAGAGAGACTTGTTGATATTTTCTTCAAAGGAAGGTACCAATATTTCTCTATATGTTGTTTTGTTTAACTAAAAGTCATTACTTCCCTTCTATCCAGCTTGAGAGAGGCTGCAAAGTAGTTCTACTCTTAGCAGTTAAGAATGTCTATGTTATTCATTTCGGTTAAGTGATATTCAAGCATGCCTAAGTATGTATCTAGTTCCCTATTGAGGTATTTGATAAAGATGTTAATGTTCATAATATAGTAATTCATGCATATTCATTTACCATCGTGCTACGGCCGGTTGGACAGTCATGCATATTCATTTACCACCATACTACAGCCGGTTGGGCAGTCATGCATTTACCACCTTGCTACGGCCGGTCGGTCAGTTACCATCGGTTGGGCAGTTATGTATCATTATTTACCACCGGTTGGGCAGTCATATGTTTACCACCGTGCGAAGGCCGGTCGGGCAGTTACCACTGATCAGCTGGGCGATTAACGCCACGTGAATGATGTAATCAGAACTATTATATCGTAGTTTTATTTATATATACAAATGGGTTTTATTCTACATGTTACGGCCCTCAGCGGCAAGTCAAAAGTTATAAGTTGACTCTTATCTCTCCCCGAGATAGTATCTTATTATTATTATTACGTTTCATTTCTGCCTTACATACTCGGTACATTCTTTGTACTGACGTCCCTTTTCCTGGGGCGATGTGTTTCATGCCACGCAGGTGTAGATAGGTGAGCTGAGGACCACCCACTGTAGGCTGCCTCCAGATATCAACTCTTGGTTGGTGAGCTCCACATCTTTCCGGAGTATTGCCGAGTCATGTTCTATATGTGTTACTTTATTTTATGAAGATGTTGGGGACCCTGTCCCGACTTATATATCATGATCATGTTTTCTTAAAGGTTTTGCAGACAACGTCTTGTGTATAGCTTTAGGTACGACATGTCAACGTCCTTGTCGGCCCATATGTATCTATATAAATCTTTTTGAATTAGATATGTGAGTTAAGTTTTATATTATTAATTATATATGATTGTGGCCTATCATGGTGAGTCTTATAGAAAAACAAAATAAGGTATGTGGCGCTCGGTTGAGTAGGCACCGGGTGCCCGTCGTGGCCCTCTGATTTGGGTCGTGACAAAGTGGTATCCGAGCGGTTCTGTCCTAGGGTTGTCTGCAAGCTGTGTCTAGTAGAATCTTGTTTATAAATGTGTCGTGCAGCACGTTGTATAAGCAAGATACTACAGGGCATTTAGGGACCGGTTACCCTTCCTTCTTGATATTAGATCGTGTAATAGAGCAGAGTCATAGGGAATAAAGTCCTTGACTTTTGACTTGTTTTATATATGGCGATTCCTATGACCAGGAATGCTACGGCTAGTCAGAAAGGTAAAGTAGTGGAAGATGAGAGCATGAGTAGAGTACCAATGTCTAGCAAGGGCCACAGTGAGGCCCCGAGGGGAAATACGACAGCCTCGCATAGTTCTCAGATTTTGTCAGCACCCGAGGAGATGAGGAGGAACCCAGTACCTCTACCTATTGTTCAGGATGAGGATATGGATATGCGGAGTGCAGTACAGTTGTAGACTAGATTGATAGCCGCTCAGGCTCAGCGCTAGGTAGGTACAAGTGTTGGTCACGTTAACGGGGTTATTAGCGTGAGAGTTCGAGACTTCATCAACCTGGACCCTCTAGTGTTTACCGGATCCAACAAGGATGAGGACCCGCAAAACTTTATTGATAGGATGCAGAGGAATTTGAGGGTAATGCATGTATTAGACATTGAGTCAGTAGAGTTGGCCTCATACTGATTGGAGGATGTTGCAGTTCAGTCGTATGAAACTTGGGAATCATCTAGAGGGATAAATGCATCTCCAGCGGTATGGGAAGAGTTCTCAGGGGCTTTCTTGCATCATTACTTGCCGACAAAGATTCGTCAGGCAAGGGTAGACAGGTTCTTGGCTCTTAAACAAGGGAATATGAGTGTGTGGGAGTATAGCCTCCAGTTTGATTCCTTGGCAGGGTATTCCCCCTCGATTGTAGCTAAAATGAGTGACCGAGTGCATCGGTTTGTGGTAGGACTTGGGCCGCACCTGATTAATGAATGCTTCACGGCCGCTCTGCTCGATGGTATGGATATTTTCCGCATCCAGTCTTATGCTCAGAATTTAGAGGATAAAAAATGACAGCAATACGAGAATTGTGTTGGGGGTCAGCATAAGAAGGCTAGGTCTGCTAGGCAACCTGAGGATTTTTCGGGCGATCCTATGTTAGCATACCCTGTTGAAAGTGTCCGACAGTTGCAAAAGCCGTATTATGAGGGATCTATCTATTCTGAGTCAGGATAGGGCTCGAGAATTTCGGGTTTTAAGAATCAGAGGGATTCAGCGCAAATGAGGGTGCCCCCTATGTGGTGCAGTCAATGCGATAGGGCTCATTCCGGATAATGTCATCAAGGGTCTAATGTATGCTTTACCTGTGGAGACCCTAGTTATTACATGAGGGATTGTCCTATAAATGGCAGAAGCGGGATGGTTCAGCCCACCAGATCTATAACAGTCTCCTCCTTTTCAGTACGCCCTCAAGAGCGAGGCCCTCAGGCATCAACTAATAGAGGTAGAGGCAGGGGTGGAGCATCTAGCTCCGGCGATAGTCAGAATCGCATATATGCTTTGGCAGGTCGTCATGACCCAGAGGCTACACCGGATGATGTGTCAGGTATTGTAATTATTGGTAATGTTGGATCTTATTAACGCAAATTGTCCAGTTAATATGATTAATGTAAGAGTAAGTTGGCATTACGTCTGAAGACTTAAGGGAAACCAAAGCTAGCTTGAAAGCAAAGAATGAACCCGGTTATTAAGATTACAACTAATAAGTGTCAGCGCCTAGAAGATAGATTAACAGAATCATAGGTGACAAATGTATTAGGAAGTAATTTTAGGGAGGGATGACGTCCTGACCCCGTGACAGCCTGATATTTATTTCATTCGAGTTTAGCCCGGGAAGATATATATATTTATAATAGATGCATATGTATGTACATCTTGCAAGTTTAAACATTCGATGACGAATGTTTCTAAGGGGGGAAGGATGTTACATCTCGCATTTTCGTACGTTAAAAGTTTCGTCTTCAGTTAATTGACGTAGACTCGGGGGGTGAGATTATCTTTAGGTTAAAGTATATACGCTATTTATAACAAGCGATAAATAAGTGTCATGAAGGATAAAGGGTACACGAATTAAAAAAAACGAATTTCGTTGAAAGTGGCCAATTTGGGATAAAATACGGGTCGAGCATAATACCCGATAATTATGAACTAGTACCATGCAAGGTACTATATGATCACGGTAGTATGATGTATAAAGTATATTAAAAATAAGTAAAATTTTAAATAATTTAAGATAATTCTTAATTATACGGGTAATTAATTAATTACCGGGTAACGGGACATTACCTAGTTAACTACTAAAATATGAGATAAGATTAATTTTCCTCCCAAAAAAACCTGACATGGAGCCATAAACCTACAAAAATGACTAAGTAGTCTATAATCCTAGGTGGCTACCTAAGTATTATTAGAATTTAATAATGTAAAGACTTATTACAAGTCTTATCCCTTTCCATTGGGACAAAAGAGCGAACAGACGTTCTTAATTCATAAAAAGCAAGAAACATTTTCATTTTCCTAGTTCAAATACTTCAAAGAACAGAAGCTTAATTCCATCCAAATTTTGCAGTTCTATAGGAATACGGTGTAATCTTCTCCAAGAATATCATACGGAGTTTTCGCTACTCCAGGTATATTAAGGTTAATCCTTCTTTCTTTTGGCATGATCCAAGTAACGATACGTAAATGTAATGTTATTCCATAAGCTTGAAGTCCTGGCTTCGCCTTAAGGTAGAGTTACTCAGGCGATCCGGTGGATTAGTTGTTAAAAAAAAATACATACACAAATAAATAAGATTGTGCTTTCTGGAGAATATGCAGTTTACAAAGAGAACAAGTCTATAACATTTCTTACACATCTATGGAATGCAGAAGTTAAAGTTGATACCCTAATGGTTAATTGATATTAGGTACTGAGTCCATGAAATATTTTTATTCGCCAACCTTGCTTTGGTATCAAATGGAAAGAAAAGAAAGCAACAACATGTCTTTTGTGTCTATTGAAGAAAGGTGCTGAATGAGATGTAATTGCTTTGGTTACTTTTAGTATTTTTAAATGGTGACCTTATAATTTCCTATTTTTCTTTCTGGCGACTTGCTCACTTAAATATTTCAACTGTTTCTTCAACTTGGGCTTTAGACATTTAGCAACTTGTAGTTGTTGCGCCTATATTAAGTTGAGGCAATGTTTTAATGGGTCAAGCGCCTTAAGTTTCAGTGTTTAGGAAAATAATTTGACATGACACTGCATGCACATCTCAGTTTTGTCCTTTGGGTGAATTTGGAAGCAAAGTTGCTTATAGAAGCATGCAACAATTCATTTTCAACTAGCTCCTTATTAAATTACGACCTCGAGTTTTGCATGTTATCTGATTTAAAGAATGATAGTTAGAGAGAGACTTGTTGATATTTTCTTAAAAGGGAGGTACAAATACTTCTCTATATGTTGTTTTGTTCTACTAAAAGTCATTACTTCCCTTTCTTTCCAGCCTGAGAGAGGCTGCAAAGTGGTTCTACTCTTAGCAGTTAAGGATGTCTATATTATTCATTCCGATTAAGTGATATTCAAGCATGTCTAAATATGTATCTAGTTCCCTATTGAGGTATTTGATAAAGATGTTAATGTTCATAATATAGTAATTCATGCATATTCATTTACCATCGTGCTATGGTCGGTTGGGCAGTCATGCATATTTATTTACCACCGTGCTACGGTCGGTCGGGCAGTCATGCATTTACCATCGTGTTACGGCTGGTCGGGCAGTTACCACCGGTTGGGCAGTTATGTATCATTATTTACCACCGGTTGGGCAGTCATATATTTACCACCGTGCGAAGGCCGGTCGGGCAGTTACCACTGATCAGTTAGGTAGTTAACGCCATGAGAATGATGTAATCAGAAGTACTATATCGTAGTTTTATTTATATATATGAATGGGTGTTATTCTACATGTTACGGCCCTCAGCGGCAAGTCAAAAGTTATAAGTTGACTCTTATCTCTCCCCGAGATAGTATCTTATTATTATTACATTTCATTTCTGTCTTACATACTCGGTACATTATTCGTACTGACGTGCCTTTTCCTGGGGCACTGTATTTTATGCCACGCAGGTGTAGATAGGCGAGGTGAGGACCACCCACTGTAGGCTGTCTCCAGATATCAACTCTTGGTTAGTGAGCTCCACATCTTCCTGGAGTACTTCCAAGTCACATTCTATATATGTTACTTTGTTTTATGAAGATGTCGGGGACACTGTCCCGACTTATATTATGATCATGTTTTCTTAGAGGTTTGGCAAACAGTGTCCTGTGTATAGCTTTAGGTACGACATGTCAGCGTCCTTGTCGGGCCCTATGTTTCTATATAAATATTTTTGAATTAGATATGTGAGTTAAGTTTAATATTATTAATTATATATGACTGTGGCCTATCATGGTGAGTCTTATAGAAAAAAAAATAAGGTAGGTGGCGTTCGGTTAAGTAGGCACCGGGTGCCCGTCGTGGCCCTCTTATTTGGGTCGTGACAAAGTGGTATCAGAGCGGTTCTATCCTAGGGTTTTCATCAAGCCGTGTCTAGTAGAATCTTGTTTATAAATGTGTTGTGCGCCACGTTGTATAAGCGAGATACTACAGGGCATTTAGGGACCGGTTACCCTTCCTTCTTGATATTAAATCGTGCAATAGAGCAGAGTCATAGGGAATAAAGTCCTTAACCTTTGACTTGTTTTATATATGCAACGATGCCTATGACCAGGAACGCTATGGCTAGTCAGAAGGGTAAAGTAGTGGAAGATGAGGGCATGAGTAGAGTACCAATGTCTAGCGAGGCCTAGAGTGAGGCCCCGAGGGGAAATACGATAGCCTCGCATAGTTCTCTAATTTTGTCCGCACCCGAGAGATGAGGAGGAACCCAGTACCTCCACTTATTGTTCAGGATGAGGATATGGATATGTGGAGTGCAGTACAGTTGTTGACTAGATTGGTAGCCGCTCAGGCTCAGTGCCAGGTAGGTACAAGTGTTGATCATGTTAACAGGGTTATTAGCGCGAGAGTTCGAGACTTAATCAACCTGGACCCTCTAGTGTTTACCGGATCCAACAAGGATGAGGACCCGCAAAACTTTATTGATAGGATGCAGAGGACTTTGAGGGTAATGCATGCATCAAACACTAAGTTAGTAGAGTTGGCCTCATACCGATTGCGGGATGTTGCGGTTTAGTGGTATGAAACTTGGGAATCGTCTTGAGGGACAAACGCATCTCCAGCAGTATTGGAAGAGTTCTCAGGGGCTTTCTTGCATCATTACTTGCCGGCAGAGATTCGTCGGGCAAGGGTAGACAGGTTCTTGGCTCTTAAACAAGGGAATATGAGTGTGAGGGAGTATAGCCTCCAGTTTGATTCCTTGGTGAGGTATGCCCCCTCGATTGTGGCTGAAATGAGTGATCGAGTGCATCAGTTTGTGGTAGGACTTGGGTTGCACCTGATTAATGAATGCTTCACGGTTGCTCTGCTCGATGCTATGAATATTTCCCGCATCTAGGCTTATGCTCAAAATTTAGAGGATCGAAAACGACAACAATACGAGAATCATGATGGGGGTCAACGTAAGAAGGCTAGACCTGCTAGGCAACCTGAGGATTTTCCGGGCGATCCTATGTCACCATACCCTGTTGAAAGTGTCCGACAGTTGCAAAAGCCGTATTATGAGAGATCTGTCTATTCTGAGTCAGGTCAGGGCTCGAGAATTTCGGGTTTTCAAAATCAGAGGGATTCAGTGCAAATGAGGGCGCCCCCTCCGTGGTGCAGTCAATGCGATAGGGCTTATTCCGGATAATATCGTCAGGGGTCTAATGTATGCTTTACCTGTGGAGACCCTAGTTATTACATGAGGGATTGTCCTATAAATGGTAGAAGCAGGATAGTTCAGCCCACCAGATCTATAACAGTCTCCTCCTCTTCAGTACGCCCTCAAGAGCGAGGCCCTCGGGCATCAACTGGTAGAGGTAGAGGTAGGGGTGGAGCATCTAGCTCCGGCGGTAGTCAGAACCGCATATATGCTTTGGCAGGTCGCCAGGACCCAGAGGCTACACCGGATGATGTGTCAGGTATTGTGATTATTAGTAATGTTCGATCTTATTAATACAAATTGTCTAGTTAATATGATTAATGTAAGAGTAAGTTGGCATTATGTCTGAAATGTGCGGCCGCACTCAACCTTCTTCCCCTTAGTAGACCATAAGTATAAATAGAATAGTAGGGGCAAGGGTTACGAGTTTTCACTCTCTAAGCTCAAAAATAACACTCTATTGAAAATTCTTGGTGATTTTATCTGTCCACACACACAACATCTTTGATCAGTCACTCATTACACTCATTCATCTGGTATGTTTCAATTTCTTGTTAATCTTTTTCTTTTAATTTGTAGATTTTTAGTTGTTTTTAGGCCAATTGTCATTAGAATTCAACTATTTATCTATGTAGGGGTAAATCTGTAATAGGTTAACTAATTCATGCTCTATGGGGACTGGGTAAACATATTTTCATCTATCTATGTTGTTGCCATGTCAAATTATGCACAAAATTGCAAAACCTAGATAGAAATAATTGAACTGTACGCCATTTTTGAATTCATCACCCGCACTTGAATTTGTGCGGTCCGCAAATATGGAATGTAGGGCAGCATAGTGAAAGAAGGGATCTGCGCAATAAGTAAAAATGTGTGGACCGCAGAATTCGTATTGCGGCCGCAAAACACTACTTTTCCTGTCATCAGAGAGTCCCCACCTAGGGACTCCAATGTGCGGCCGCAAAGTTAATTGTGCGGACTACAAATATCATATTGCAGCCGCACATCAGCCAATTCTCTGTCATAAGAGAGTTGACATTTCTTGGGTTTCAGAGGTGCAACCGCAAGTGAAATTGTGTGGACCGCAAGGCCTCATCTGCGGCCGCAAGGAAATTGTGCGGACTGTAGATCTTGTTCCTGCAAGCATGCTTTGAATGTGAACCTTTACTATGCCTTCTTGTTTATATCTTACATACATATCTCTTGTGTATGTTTGAACATTGAATTATAACTAACAATCTCCTTTGCTTGCTACAACAATGGTTCGATCTAGGGGACGAGGCGGTACTTCTAAAGGAAGGGGTGAACCTTCTCGGGGATGAGACAAGAGGGCCTTACCTCTTGGCCAACAAAAGGAAATTAAAAGAAGACAATAGCCGGGAGAGGGAGAGGTGCAGACCTCTCCGAGACGAGTTCATATGTCCCGTCTAGGGAAGCATCAGAGGGAAATTCAGCCTCTATTCAGGAGCAGCCAACCGTACAGTTGGCCGCACCTCATATAATAGCATTTTCGAGGGATCGGAAAGTGCTAGTTAGGATTCTGAGCCATCAAAAACACTTGTCCACAAGGCAAAAGATACACCAATTCAGGATATCCCCGATGATGGCAGAGAGGGAGATGCTACAACTATCAGTCTTGAAAGATCAAAGAAGAAAGAGGTGAGGAGGACCGTTTTGTCAACTTGGTGGCCTTCACCAGCTTTCATACATGGTATCTAGTGAGGTCGCTAACTCTTGGGCGACAGTTTCAGTTGAAGGATTTAGAGGTACAACTATGGCTGTCCAATGGAACGGGTCGATCCATCCCCGTCCCGGTCCATATCCTTTCCCATCCCGGCCCATTTAATTCTAAAAAGGATATGCCCATATTAAACACTACACGGGATGGGAAGGACTGCCCATTTTGGCCCGTTTATCCCGTCCCATCCCGTCTGTCCCGCTTGTTATTTAATTTTTTATTTTTATTTTTGAAATAGAGCCCTTGGGAGACGCCTTGTTTGCAAATTTAGCCATTCGCAATGGCTATAAACAACTATATTTAGCCCTTCCGAACAAGGCGTTGTACCTTATTTCCCCTTCAATCACGTAGAACTTCGTTTCTTGGGTGCTCCCGGCAGTGTTTACTGGTGAAGTTATCTCACTTTTCGTGGTCTCGCACTCCATGTTGAATCCATTCAATACTTGACTGCCAGTATGATTTGATCCTGTAACCTAGTTGCTCTACGACTCTCGATCTGATGATTTTGGCCGAGCTACCTGGATCAATCAAAACATGTTTAACCCGAGATTTATTGATAACTACAAAATTACCAGTGCATCGTTGTGAGGTTGTACGATGCCCTCGGTGTGTTCGTTGCTGAACGAGATAGCTCCTTCCGAGATGTAATCTCGGGTGCGTTTCTCTCTTGTAATAGAAACTTTGGTATGTTTGATCATCGGCCCTTGAGAGACATCAACTACCACAATGATCATGCTAATTACGTGTTGAGGCTCCTCTTATTCGACCTATTTGTTGGCGTCCGTGTTTCTGAAGTGGTTTTTGGCTCGCTTGCTTAGGAATTCTCGAAGGTGCCCATTGGTGAACAGTCGAGCAACTTCTTCTCTTAACTGTCGACAATCTTCAGTCTTATGATCGTGAGTACCCTGCTACTTACACATCAAATTAGGATCTCTCTAGGAAGGATCAGACTGCAATGGTCGGGGCTACTTAGTCTCTTTGATGCCCCTTATGACTGACACTATGCTTGCAGCGTCCATGTTGAAATTATATTTCGATAGTCTTGGAGCCTCCCTGCTCCCGAACGACCTGTCATACCCGCTCTTGCTTATCAGGACCCGATCACACGGTCCTCGATCATTTTTCTTCTCATTCCTTGTCGGATGGTGCCCTGATCTGTTTCCCCTTCGATCCCTGTTGTATGGCTGATATCGATCTCGATCTCGAGCCGACCTCGACTCTTGATTAATGTTTCTCTTAGACTTGTCATCAGTTCTAATAGGGTAAATATATCCAGAAGGGGCTCCGAGTTGGTCGTCTTCGACCCTGATCTTAGATTAATATATATTGTGGACATCGGCCCAGGTGACCGCTGGTACTCTACCAAGTTTTGCTTTAGCTGTTGAGAGGTCGTGGAACTTCGGGGGTTGAGCCCTTGAGTAAATGCCTGAACGGCCCAATCATCTGCAACCGGTGGCAGATCCATCCATTCCATCTGGAACCTCGACACGAACTCCTTAAGCATCTCGTTATTCCTCTGCTTGACCTGAAAAGGTCTGACTTCCTGGTCTCGATCTTGATGGAACCATCATGAACCTTTATGAAAGCATCTGCAAGCATAGCAAACGAGTCGATAGAATCTGGAGGCAAGTTGTGATACCATATCATTGCTCCCTTGGACAGGGTTTCCCCAAATTATTTCAGCAATACCGACCTAATTTCGTCGTCTTCCAAAACATTCCCTTTGATTGCGTATGTATAGGAGGTTACAAGCTCATTTGGATCCGTGGTCCCATTATACTTGGGGATGTCGGGCATCCGAAACCTCTTCAAGATCGGCTTTGGTGCCGCGCTCGGAGGTAAAAGCTTCTGAATAAACTTTTTGGAGTCCGATCCCTTCACTATCGGAGGCGCTCCAGGGACTGATCGACCCTGGAGTTTTATGTTTCCACCTTTTTGTCATTGGCCTCAATCGTTTTCTCGCCAGTCCACCCGTTTTTGAGTATCTTCAACACTTCGAAAGGTTTCCCGAGCCTAAATTTGCTCGGTTCTAGGACAACATGTTCATCCCTCCGATTATTTTCCCGTAACTGCTCGGGCTCGACCCAGTTAGGGGCGTGGCTTTGGTTTTGTAACTGTACTATCGCCGCTTGCTAAGCCTGCAACATTTCGAAATTCAACCGCATGATTACCTTATCACCTTCGCTTACGGGCGCCTCTCGAGCCGCTGGCTGGCGTCCCCTTTGAACGTTGTTTTCAGGATCAGTTGGTAGATTGATATTGATGGTCGTTTGTGAGTTAGCATCGACCGGGTCGGTGGCTGGGACACTATTGGGATCGATAGGGAACACATCATTACTAGGCATCACGTTATTATTCTCACCATGATGGCCTGACTCAGCATCAACGTTCAAGTGAGCTGACTGAGAATTTGACATCCTTGGGCTAACCTGAAGTCAAAACTTCAAAGAACAAGCGTAAAATAGGGTGTGTTATCTAGATTCATATCAAATCACCACTATTATCCTTAGCCCTACAGTGAGTGTCAAACTGTTTGCATAAAAAATGAGTAACAATTAAATTTGTATGCGATTTAAAGGATATGCGATTTAATTCAGTACGAATGGTTAAGAACAATAGGTAATTAAGTTAATGATAAAATAAATGATCAAACCAATCGCAATGCGATGAACAAGCCTGATCGTAAGTTGAATAGTAGGATTTGTTATCGATCGGACCCTCAATACAAGTTCGATCGCAAATAGAGAAGAGATCAAATTAAGAACACTTTCAACAGTAGCTAGAAAACAAAAAAAACCTTTATTCTTTTGATTGCGTGTCACCGTGTCTTAAATAAAAGAAACCTTCTCCTTTATATAGTAGTTCAGTCCTGGTACAAGTCTAAATAAGGTAAAAATCTCCTTTTTTGGTAAATATCGATCCGCAGTTGATATTGGACGGGATTCGCGCCGTAATATCCAATTGAGGGCGAATATTACAGTTCCATATTCGTCATGCATAACCGTTCTCCGCATTTCTCATGGTCCAGGAACCTTACTTGGTCTAAGTCCGTTATGTCATCGTGCCCGATCCCAGATGCATCGTTCACTCCTCCTTGGTTCCGATACGAGGGGTCCTTTGACCTCGCTTGTAGTCGTGTCGAGCCATGCTTCCCTTTTGTTTCCTCACCAGTAATTGGGGAAAACTCTGCCCCGGTTTTACTCGTACGCAATAACTTAAAACATTAAGGAGAACAAGTTGTTTTCCAAATAATATTTCTTTTGTGGATCGAAAAAGTCTTTCCCTTTTTGTTGACCCAACATTTTTTTCAAGTAAATAATATTTTTCTCTTATAAAACTATAGTATTTTTCAATAAAACGAATATCCAAATACAATGTTAATTTTCAAATATATTTTTTCAATTTAACTTCAAAACTTACTTTTTTTTTTAAATCTCATATTTTTGTTACGTTCAAACGCCTACTGAATATTGGTGTTACTCTAAATTAAATACTGCTCCCAAAATTGATTTTGACCTTAGTCAAGAGGCCACGTAGACCCACTGGGAATGAACAGTCCAGAACCTTCTTATAGCAGTGCAAAATGTTGTGAAAATAATTTTGGCGCCCAACCAAAACCCTAGAGCAGCAGTCTAGCAGAGCCTTTACCAGTCTCCAACTCCTTTTCTGCCGGAGCTAAGTAAACATCAATTAACCGGAAACTATGTCAGGCTTGAGGTTCTTCGTTGAAAGAACCGGTGACGGCGCCGGGCAGCCGGTCCTCGACGCCGACAACGGCGAGGAACTCATGCACGTGCAGCCTGGAACCGCCATCGTCCTCGGCAGCCGCCAGCCTGAGTCTTCTGGCACTCTCTACATCACCACTAAGTAACTTCTCGACCTTCGATTTATCTTTTGTTTGTTTCTGTATTTATGCCTTTTCGAATCGAATCAGTCGTTGAGTTTTGGTTGTAATTCGTAAAATATTTACCAGGCAAGTGGTTTGGCTAAGCGATACAGATAGGAGAAAAGGTTATGCAGTTGATTTCTTGTCGGTTTCACTTCATGCTGTGTCTAGGGACCCCGAGGCGTATCAGGATCCTTGTTTATACGCTCAGGTAGAATCTCCTTTCGAAATGAAAATACGGAGTATATTATTTCTGTTAGTTGAGGTTTTACGTTTCACTCTATATTAGCAAGAGAGCCAAAAAAATGAAGATTAATTTCTGTTCTTTGTGAAATTGGAATGTCCCAAATTTTGTAGAAGCAAATTGACCTGCCTATATTTGGATTAATTTCTGATGTAATATTAAGAACTGCTGGTCGTGAAATGGAACTGATAGTAATAAAAAAGGGTTAGGAATATACTGAAGTGATAATTTAAGCGTCTATCCATATGATTATTTCCCTTTTAAATATCTGACATGAAAAGGTTCTCACCCTTGCTATCAGAGGCAGATATATCTTGCATCAAGAGGTATCATCCCATGCTGCTTCGCTCAAAATTTTCAGCTAGAATAATGCAAATGACAATTAGAAGAATTAAGTAAGTTCGCTTAACACCACTTGACAAGAGGAAGTTCGTAGTTCTCTGGTCACAAATATTCCATAGTATAACAGAGGGATTGTTTAACTTCGTGAGATATTGGGAATGCAGGGAGCATAATGATATCAATATTGACTACTAAGTTAGAATGAGAATTAAAAAAGAATTTGGGGTGGG